CTAATAGAACTTTAGATATAGCTGCCCAAAGAAATCGCCTCACATTTTAATAATATATAAAGACAATATAGTACATAATTAAAATAAAATGAATTCAAATTCATTGTCATTAAATTAAATTTGAAAAATTCCTTTAAACAATAAAAATAAATAAATATAAGAACAAAACTGATCCTAATCAACTAATTTAAGTAAAAATATACTTCCTTATATACGTTCAATTATCTAGTACTCATTTTTTTTAGCTGAATTTCAAGACGCCCAAGATTAGACATAGTTACGTCGTTTCCAATATTATGTAGTTATTTTATATTTTTTATACGAGTACTCTGTTTTGTTATATGATTGGATGAGTAACTGAGTACCAAACGTACACATTTACTAAATAAAACCGATCGATTACCTAATTTACTGAACATCACTTGGCCATACCGAGTGTATAATAATGTAATACCCAAATCCGCAATGGCACAGTTAAATATTAATGTCTTTTGATTTAATTGGCTTTTGTTGCAAATAAAATAACTATACATTAGAGATATACATCTTGCAGAAATAAAACATCTTTTAGTTCATTATTTCAGATATCACAAACATATTCAGACAGATGAGATTTTAAAAAAACAACAATATTTTCACACATCAAAAATAACCAGTAATTTTATTTCAATCTCAAATAGACTATGATCATATTATGTTTTAGTTATACTAGGAAATCCATTAACCCGACGAGTTTCCTTGCTAAATAATTTTTAATTCCTAATCCAAGTACATTCTATTTACTAATTGTATTGCATTAAAAACTGATTGCATTGTTTGAACTGAGAGGAAATCGATTTGAAATTGAAAAAATAAAGGTCTAACACACATTTCTTTTATTTAGCTTTTAGTTACCTATCACAAGATCTTTAGTGACTCAGGACGAATTGATTCATGGACTGCATCTGACAATCGAAAATAAAAGCAATTTACTTAGATTTTATATCATGAACATAATGAAATATAATGCAGACAGGTTAAATTTTAGAAAATTGTTTCATTTTATTTCATTGATAACTAAAACAATATAGTACTTAAAATGTAGTGGAAACAAACTATTAGTTTGAAAATAATGCTAAGAAGTTAACTGAGAAGGTGATACGCACTTTATAACTTTGCTGAATACTAAATAAAAAATTATAAGAATTATCAATTGTCAAATTTGATTAAAACTTAAACAAGCATTTCGTTTAATAATTATTAAATAAAAATATATGTATAACTTTTAGTAGCGTTAATTCGATTGATTTCTTTGCAAATATTTCAATACAGGATAAATATTGAGGAAATAACAATAGAATAATATGGACGAAATAATTTTAATTGTGTATTATATTTCAGAAAGGTATTTATGAAATGTATTATTTGAATAATACCGGTTGAAAATAAAAATAATGTATTTGAATAAAGTAGGTATAACAAATTTTAATTAACATTATGTATTGTGAAACAAAATAAGTTTACAATAATTTTAATCTAATGTCAAACAAATGCCCCATATAATTTAAAGTGTTAAAAATAAATGAAATTAGTCATATTATTTGTAAATAAAATGTAATCAGATTGTGCTGTTTTGAAAAATAATTATGGAAATAAATTAACTATTTGTGTATTTTCTGTAAGTCCTTTATCGTATCTTTTAACAATTGTGAAAATATTTCCTTAAATAGGTTGAGCAGATTTTTTAAAAAAGGTCGAAATAAACATAGATTATGATCATAATCATAATCATTATTATTATCATCATTATTCGTTACAAAAAAATGTAAGTGCAATACTAAAACACCAGTAAAATAATTCGACTAAAACTATTTTGAAACTAATTTTTAGTTGCGTCAAACGTTTATTTTTAGTTATGTTTGATTCATTTTATTTTCGATAAGTACACATTCTGTAAATAAATAAGAAAATAAATAAAAATTAAAACCCCATTGATTTTTTTCAGGTTTTAGTCATTAGTGCTTTTACCAACTTTTAATCGTCGAATTAAAATAAATATTTAAACAGATGTTAAAAAAAATATTAATCTGAGCTATTAGTATCGCTTAATTGTGTAGTTCAAAATCATATCAAAATAATATGTCATGTTTACATTAGTTTGTGGTACAGAAAATTACTGTAATTTACACTATACTATTATGAATATACCCTAAATCCGATACTTTATTTCGACTATTAAATTGATCTAATACACGTGGATTGGATTAATTCTAATACATTTTTTTACCTTTATCATATATGTTTTGCATATTTTTTCAGTAGTACGCTGACATTTTGAGCCTGTTATAAGTTTCATGTACAGAGTGTATACAAGTGTATGCTCACTGTTTTATGCACGTACTGATTAATTGGTTTGTTTTTAACCTATATTTTATATTTATATTATGCTATTGATTACAGCTTTGTTATCTTCTGTTATATTTTGGAAATTATGCACCTCGATCACTTTATATTTGGTATGTAACTCATAGGTTGGTCACTCATCATAGATTACTGGAGACATATAGTTCTTCTATTTAGATTCTATGCATTTTTTTTATTCCAATATTTTCAAAATTTATTTTTTGTTGTAGTTTCTGTCTGGCATATTATTTCTTTTTCTTCAATGGATTTATTTTTTTTTATCATTCCTTTCTTTTCGGGGATTAGGTGGATAATTGGTTTCCACGTAATACTATGCATGCACCAGCTCTGTTAAAGTTTTCAGACCATTTTTTTTTTTTTATTTTTCTTGCTTCTTTTATCATCCGTTTTCACGATTTTCTCCTTCAATTAATATCTCAGTGTCGTTAAAATGTGTGTTATGATACCTTTGTTTCACATCTACCTACATATATTTTTTCCGTTTTTTTTTCTCGTAATTTAATGTGGCTCCACCTGTTTTCCCAACATATTATTCACTACATGAATAAATAAGATTCCTCATATTACTGGATTGAATATTTCTTTAACACTTCGAGATAAGGTTTCTATGTTCCTACCCGAGTACAAAAATATAAATCTTTTTTCAAATGAAAACCGAGCAAATGATTTAACTCATGTTGATAAATTTTTAAAAATATAATAAATAATTTTGCCCCACTTTAATTATAAAATAAAATCTCAAGATATCGATTACAAAATGTTTATGGATAAAATATATGTATGGAGTAAATGAGTATAGTTGATTTACAAAATACCCATAGTTACTAAAATCACATGTTATATTTATCAGTAATTTCATATTATTCACTTCAATTTCATAATAATTTATTGCATGTAATAAGTGTTTTATTTTATTTTATAATATAATGCAACCAAAACAAAAGTAATTCAAAGCAGAATATTTTTGTGCTAATAAAAAATTATTTCCACTCAAACTTAATACTATATTCAGATTACAAAATATTTTTTTTTGATATATAATGTAAGTTACTTGTTTTTTACTGCCATAATTATCCAACATTTGATTTCTCTAATTGCATTTATAATTTTAATGAAAAAAAAGGAAGTAATTTAATTACTATATTTAATTAATGACAATTGTTATTTAACAGATAATTTTACTATACAATAAGAAATATTTATTTTTGTTTTTACAAATTATTTTGTATTTAATTCTCTGTGGTCGATTTATTAATATGCCATATGAATGACATGCTCAAAATGGATTAAAAATTAATTGATATACATTAAATAAAGGTAACAATATACTCGTAATTAGGAGAAATAAAATACACAAATTAAAATATATTTAAAAAGGATACTAATAAAAAGAAAAAAAAATATAATTATTACCGTTAATAATAACTAAAAATACAAATTTATTTTAGTTATTGATTTATATGTTTATTTATCGTTTTATGAATGCATTTCTGTTAAACTTCATAACATATATTTTATGTTATTCGCTTAGATTTTTTGAAACTTCATCTACATTTTCGGTTTGGGTAAAGTTTTGACTGTAAAAAAATTTATACTCATAAACACATAATTTGTATAAATTTAATGTTATATAATTAGCAAGATAAATCAAAAATAATATTTTATATATTCTGTCAGAAAAAGTGACCGGTACAATAATATATTGTATAAATCAAATGTCAGTCGAATGACAATATTATAAATTAAATATTTAACAATAATGTGTCATAAAATTAGTTGTTATACCAACCGCATACTGGTAGCTAATAAAATTAACCAAAATCTTATGAAGATTAAGAAAATGTAGGTCTCAAAGCATCCCGTAAATGTTGGCTGACAAATAACCGTGCAGAGCAGGTGTATACGGTAAGACCGTTCGCACTACAATTAATAGTTCGTTACAATTCCTAATATTGCTCGTTCGATTCTGTCGGGTCCACCGCACAGCAGTGTCGGATCACATACATTTGTTTGGTAATATCGAACGGACGAGTAGGATAAACTTGGTTTAAAAAAAAAAAAATAATATTAACCTTTTTCCTAGTGGTAAAGCTGACTAGTGCAAGACGTCAACCAGCTTCTGGATGTATCGTTAAATCCCTTTTTGGAACCTGTCCAATGTTCGGATTTACTTTCACGAATATTTAATTTATATTTGGGAAACTAAACATGCGTCCACGTTGTGTCCGTCCATCCGTTATTCACCAGTACCATTGTCAAGATTGTCAATTATATTCATACCTGCGCGTACCTATGCTGATATCGAATACCAAAATACCAGTATTCAATACGGATTCATATAAGCCAATATTAAGAAAATAAGACATACCAAAATATCAACAATTTGTTTAGAAATCCAAATACACAACTGATTTAAATTTGTTCGCGCGAAATTCCATAAGTCTTTTTAAATCATACAAAATAAATAATCTGAAATACTTGGGAAATACTTAGCCAGGAACGCTGGACTTTTCTTACACGTAAACATTCGTTACCGGGAAGCACGATACGGTCAAATCATTTAATACACTTATCGGTTATGGTTAGGTTGTACTTACACAGCGAAGTGGTAAATGAAACAGATCCATCCGCACGGGTGTTCGAGGAACACGTACACCCTCTCCTGAAAGGTCTTGCCTTTTCTCTGGTGGAACACGTATTTGGCTTTGAACGCCTGGTCGATGGGCAGGTATATGGGATAATACGGGTCCGGGACGCCGGGTGGCGCGGGCGGTTTGGCGTCGCCGGTGGTGACCACCTCGACGATGGCTGCATCGTCCGCGTCGCTGCTGGGCGTCGGCGGGTCAGCGAAATCTTCGCGTGGCTTTCGGCGTTTTTTCAGCGGCGTCGGCACCCGCCGGTGATGCGCCTCACCGAACCTCGGCATCCGTCTGTGGTGATGCGGCGGCCGGGCCTGCTGGTCCGGTGCTTCCTGCTTTCCGTTGAACCGCTGCTGCTGCTGCTGCTGTATATGGTTGCGTCGGTAATGTTCATCATTGCCATCCTCTTCCGAGCGACCGGAAGCACTGGCTGCCGGCGAAAAGGTCCCGACACATGGTCCGTCGTCACTGCCGCCTGCGATTCGTTCGCTCGCTCCTAGTCCACCAATCGTGCGCGACCGTTGCCGCTGCTTTATCTCGTCCGACGTGACGACGTTGCGGCCGGGCGAGCCGACGCCACCTGTGGTGCCGCCGCTGCTGCCGCTACTGCCGTTGCTCCTCAGCGATACCTCCCGGGACTTGCGGAACAGCTGCACCTCTTCGGCGCGGTTCATGTTGACGCAAAACGGCCACGCCAACATGCGGCGGCCGCAGTGCGCATGGCTTCGTCCGCGAGTGCCGCCGGCCGGCCACGCTGCGCTTTCACCACGTTCCGCGGGTGGTTGCGTGGTTCCACGTCATGCCGTCAGCGGTGAGGAGGAGGTGGCAGTGCCGACGAATGCGTCGTTCGAGGTTCCGGTGTCCGTCGACGCCACTGTGGGACCATCAGCGCACGGCCATCGTGTGACCGCGTTCCCGTGTCACGCAGAGCAATCCCCGCACACCTAATCATCACAACAACGTCACGCGATCTCGATTGGACACCGGTGTCCTCCGTGCCACCGCGTGAAATCGTTTTTCGCAATTCGCCGACGACCACTATCGCGCCGCACCCGCAATCGATTCATGTGGCCGTGCCGAAACGTCTACGGCTTGGCGCGCACGCACACGCTCGTGATACACCCGATTAGTCCCTATCTCCCACCCGTATCAATTTTAATTGTGAAAGCCACTAAGAATTAGTTATAAAAAAAAAACCCATGTTATGAAATAGATTCAAATTTTGTACCTTATCAACAACAGATGGGGAAACTGGTAAAATATAATTGAAAGAAAAGTGGTAAAAAAATCAATAAAGAAAGAAGGTGTAAGATACGAAATAACAGCAGAATAAATCAAAAATGATCAAATGGTTATTTCGTGTTGAAAGAATAGTATAAATTCTAAAGTAGGGCAACAAGAAGCAGATGGCTTGATGAGGAAAATAATGATTTGGAACAGATTGGTATACGGAACCAGAAAATTTGATGAAAATTATTTTGTGAACCAAGTGTCATAATGGGCCTTTGTCACTCAAGAATGTTAGTAATATAAATAATATAAAATATAATAATAGTAATAAATAAATAATTGAAAATAATGTGATATCTAATTTTTAGTGGGCTACGATATTAAACGTGTCATATAACATAAACTCTAAAATTAGTACAATAAAAGTTTTTGTTGGTGTTAAAATTATCCGACAACAATGAATGAAAATAAATATTAATGTTAGGTAGCTCCTCAAATATACAAATAGAAAATAAATGATTAAAAATAAAAACATATACGTGGAGAAAATAGATATATATGTTGGGCCATAAGACGTTTGGGTACAGAACGATATTTTTACCTGAAATTCGAGAGAACGATTGGGAACACACGTTTAGGTACACTTTTTTTCAGACCCCAAAAATCAATACAACCTTTGGGTACATAATATTTTTAAATTAATGCTATGTTTGGGTACCATCGTTTAGGTACACATTTTTTATATTTTAATAAAAATAAATTTAATTTGCTTATCTATGTTTATTTATTTATTTTATTTTGTAGAGCCTATTATCGTTACCCAGGAAACATCGTGAGGAGGTTGGCTCTTAGTCTCTTAAAAATTATTATTATTTATTTACTTAACTATTTTTAATTTGTTTTCTGACAAAAAGCTTACCGATGTCATATAGATAATTCCTTATATAATTTTCAAATTTAAACTCATTGTATTTTTTTAAAATATACTCAACGTTATTGATTATATTAAAACAATTTGGGTGGCTTGTATAAAACTGACTATTAAAGTCTCGATGAAATGCTTCAGGCCCATTTTTTATCCATGGATCAGATGATGGACTTTCTACCCATGTGTATGGTGGAAAAGAACTATTTTCATCGACGAAAGTCTCTAGAATATAATCTGTAAATGTTTCAGCGTGGACTGGAGCATCTGACATTAGAGATATAAAACCATTGCTTACTTCATCTGGCGATATAACACTAAGACCAAAAAAACTTTGAAGCCATTTGTATACTTCGATTTTTTTCATGTAATGCTTATATAAATCTCTGTCACTTTGTATTTGACGAAGCCAAGCTTAACTCAAATGAAAACAACAACCTGATATTAAACAGTTTTTGAAAACTTCTAATACTGCATTATGGACTGCTTTCTCAATGTCTAAATGAATTTTTTTAATGTGTAAAAGTTTTTCATGAAATTGAAAAAATAATTATTTTATTATTAAACCATACGTCAATATAAGCTTGTTGAGATTTTTTTCCATAAAAACATATATAAGTAGTAGATAGAATCCATTTATGTATACATTATCGTATACATTTGAAGGAAATGTTTAGGCGCGTATGAAAAAATACTATCAGCAAATACATGTTTTGTATTATTTAATAATGACAAGTTATCAACAGTCGTAAAAATAGGAATACTATCAGCAGATTTCATTTGGAGATAAAGTATCGAGCAATAAATGAGTATATCACTAATGTAGATTATGTGTCTTGTATATGTGTACCCAAACGTTCTCTGATTTACCAGGTAAAAATATAAAATACCTTTTATTTTATGTGTCCAAACGTTGTTTTTATTTGTACCCAAACGTGTTAGATTTCGAGTTAATTTTTGATTTTGTGTCCAAACGTTCATCCCCCACATGTTGCAGATTATCATGAAAGGACCTAAATCCTCTCTTAATGGTTCCATTGAAATAGAACAAAGCACATTTGAGATGAACTAGATCGTACATATTTTAAACTTTTGTGTCTTATTAAAATAGTAATAATTTAGTAATGTAGACATAAGTTAAAATATCGAATATAGTAAATACATATAATCACCGATGTGGTGTATCAAAACGAATTATTATCTATTTCTAAAATGAAATATTATGTAATAAGACAGCTAAATCATGAGAGATAAAGAAAACCATTTTCCCAGATAAATCACTATTACGATGAATTCAATCCGACGGTTAGCGCATACAAGTTATCGAGTCACGTCAACTATATAAAGCTCTAGTATTCTGAATAGTTATTATATATACGTTCAATATACAGTAGGTATTCTATGAAACGTATTATATACTTTATTAAAATCACAATTTTCATACTTTGATAATCAATAGTAAAGATATAATTATTTTATGGATACTAAATATACCAAAGCCTACTGAAATAAATATAATCACTTTAATTGTACACTAATTTACCTTTATTAACATGATTCAACTTGTTATTTAAATTAAGGTATCCAATAATAACTTGTATTAAATTATTTCTGATGTTAAATATATAATGGCCAACTTTAAAGTTAAATTCGTGAAAAAATAAAAATAAATTTAAAACTGTTACTTGTATAAACAACCCCCAGGGGGGCACTAAGCATTTAGTGCTACGGGCTTTGTGAACCCGGAGCCTCAAGCTATGGGCTGGCTTTGGTAAGGTGGCCCAAAGCCGGCCCTCCAGGATTGGGGGTTAAGCGGTGGACCAACAATCCACCCTAGTAAAAAACTATATGTTATGAATCTTCTAACAAAGCCTAGGAATGTGGATAATATTGGGAATCTATGTGGAACTCGAAACGGAAAACTTTTGGAGACTCAGTTTGGAACTTGAAATATCAGAACTCTCTATAAAGCAGGAGCTTTAAAGAATATTGTGGGAGAAATTGAAAAATACAAAGTACCAATAGTCGCTATACAAGAAACCCGTTGGCTAGGAAATGGTAACGTTCAGTCTGGAAACTCAACTATCTTTTTTAGTGAGAAAGAGACAGGCAAACACGAGCATGGGGTAGGCTTCGTAGTTAGCAACTTCATATTGTCAACCATTAAACTTTTTATGCCAGTGAATGAACGTCTATTCTACCTGCAAATAGCTGGGAGGATTTTCGATATATGTATTATTAACGGTTATGCCCCAACAGAGAATCAAGATGAAGATGTGAAAAATATTTTCTATGAAGACCTCGAGAGATTATTTGACTCTCTACCAAACAACTGCATCAAGATAATTGCTGGTGACCTGAATGCGCAGGTCGATAAAGAACAATTTCTTAGACCAACAATAGACCAAGAAAGTTGGCACTCAGTATCTAATGATAATGGGCTAAGACTAGTTGGCTCTACAGAATTGAAAAACCTTATTATAAGCAGCACCTTTTTTTCCAGGAAGAACATTCATAAGCACACGTGGACGGCCCCTGACGGTAAGACGAAAAACCAAATTGACCATATAATTATTGACAAGCGACACCAAACAAGCATAAAAAATGTCAGAAGCTATAGGAGTGCAGATGGGGATACAGACCACTTCTTAGTGATAGCAAGCCTATCGCTAAAATTGTCGACGATTTGGAGAAAATGGTGGCAATTTAATACACCACATAAACTAGATAGAAGTAAATTAAGAGATCAAAAGGAAATCATGGAATACCAAAACAGAATAAAGGAAGAACTGAACTGCTTTAACATAATACAAGGAGAATTGAATAACGCAACAAAGTGGACCCACGTAAAGGTATCAATAAGTAAAGCAGCAGAAAATCTCCGACCTACTATGGGAAAAAGCAAGAATCACTGGTTTGATAATGAGTGTCAAGAAGCGATAAAAAAGAGAAAAGCAGCAAGAGGTAAAATTATACAAAATCCCTTGACTTCAAATTTACAGGAATATGTAGAACTTCGTGCAAGCTCAAATAAAATAATCAGGCAAAAGAAAAGAACATCAGAAAAAAAACGCCCTAAATGACATTGAGTCATATAAAAAGGATCCGAAAATTTTTTTTGAAAAATGTAAATCAATAAAAGATGGCTATAAATCTCGTACCTATCTTATGACTGATGACGACGGCCACCTCGTTTCGGACCCCAAAATGATCATAGACATGTTTCAAACATATTTTGAGAATCTATTAAACAATAAATCAGACGATGAAATAAACAATACAGATGGATTTTGGGAACCGGCTGAGGATCAAATAGATGTTACAGTGGAACCAGAAGTGCCTGAACCTAGTTTGGAGGAGATAAAATCAATAGTGGAGCAAGTATTGAGGATTCAGAGAATCGGGAAGGTTGGAGAGCTTTGGTAGAAGCTGTGAAGCGCCTAAATGACGCGTGAAGCAAAAAAAAAAACTTGAATGAACAATATACTCGAAAAAAAATATTTTGTACTCATGTGTAGTAAACACACACGATGACTCAAAAATCAGTGTTCAAATTAAATATATTTAATATCAAAAAGATTAATATGGTAATGGTTATTAGTAGAGCTGAGGGCTTCTAGTTATTTCATAAATATTGTAGAAAATTTCTAGTGATCAACAAATATGTTTCATAACATCAGGAGACCAAATTTAAAATGTAATTTCGTATAATATTTCATATTTTTTCATTATTGTATACAAATACATATTTGAGTATATTAAAAAAAAATAAGAACCTATTTGGAAATT